TGCCCTCAATATTTTGTATATGTATCCAGAAGATAGCGGTACTTACACGCTTGTTGTAAAAAATGCCGCTGGTGAAGCTCAGTCTGTAGCCGATATCGATTGCGCCGCCAAGGGCAGCATGGTACTCTTTTTCGTTCCGCATTTATCTTAATACAGTATCGATAAGCTGTTATTTTATGTACCGAAGCACATCTGGCCATCAATTCACTTAGCGTTTTTGCCTTGTAATCGAAATTACATCATTTGATGTTCATTTTTACGTAATTTATTTTTTTTTTTTTGGAAACATATGTTGCGCTTCCTGTGTCACTTGTGTTTCGGTTTAGCTCAGTTAGGAGCGATGTTCGTGCATTCCCCGTTGGCAGTCACCAGTGGTGGGGCGAATTTACTAAAATGTCCTAGAACTTCTCCGACAATGTTCCATGTGCCCCAGATCGAAACTGCAAGAATATGTGAAGTTGCAGAAAGTGCGGGAAATGATTATCTGGCCGTTAAGGAATTACTTGATTTTAAAAATTTCGAACATTTTCCGTTAAAAAAAAAGTGTCGGAAGTGTAGTTTTATTGCAAACTGAGTCGCCGGTGGATTTCTCTCACTTTCAAGTTCTTCTTGCCATCATTTTATTTGCGTGAATTCCTGTGAGTTTCAGATAACTGAATCGTTCCATCCCAATTCAGTCCAACGTATTCGTGAGCTTGAAATGCCACTGCAACCACCAGATGAGCGTCCAGAAGCTCCCAGAATGGCACCGCAAATAGTACGACCTTTGCCACCGCAGCTGGATAGTATTCACGAAAGTCAAACATTGCATTTGGAGGCCCAGATCCTGCCGGTCGACGATAATCAGCTTAAGGTGAGCTCACCCCATTTTGTTCTGTAACTTGTAATTCACAAGCATTTAGTGTTTAGCAAAAATATCTGCGAAATTTCTTATTGTGCTTTCTTACTTATCATGCTTTCCCTTCCTACCTTGGAACTATGCAAAAACTAGGAATAGAGTTGTAACACTGCTATTTAGAGTTACTTTATTTTAAAATTACTTTAGGCTTTAGTTTTAGCTTTGGATCCAGGCTTGTGCCACTTGGGGCAAGGGGCAAAAAACCCT